GGAGGCAAGAAGCAAATCCAGAAGCTGGAGGCCAGGGTGAGCAGGGCTGTGCTGGTGCATGAGTGACCCTGTCCCTTGGAGAGACACCCCAGGGAAGCTGCAGGGATGGGCTCCTCATTGCAGGTGCGGGAGCTGGAAGGGGAGGTTGATGCTGAGCAGAAGCGCAGCGCTGAAGCCGTGAAGGGTGTGCGCAAGTACGAGAGGAGGGTGAAGGAACTCACCTACCAGGTAAGGCTGGAGGTTTCTTTGTATTGACACACTCTTCTTCCAGGAAAGCTAAAATGTAGCCCTTAGGAATTTTCCTCTCTCCTGGGTCACACACACAAAAAGGGGAAGACTGAAAGAAGAACTTATGTTTCAGGTCTTGTTAAGAAGATCTAGCTTATCACTTCTTTCTTACTGGCCGGCAGTGATCAGTTAGGAATGTTACTGTCTATTTTATGTAGAGAAGGGTCAAAGAGCTGCCTCTCTTTCTTGTCTATTGTCTCTCTAGTCTGAGGAAGACAGGAAGAATGTTCTCAGGCTGCAGGATCTGGTGGACAAGCTGCAAATGAAGGTGAAGGCCTACAAGAGACAGGCTGAAGAGGCTGTGAGTATTGATGTGTTTTCCCCTCTGTTTAAACCATGCTGAACATTGTGGGAGTAGGAATCTGCTTCCTTTCAGTTTCTTTATTTCATATTTCTGCCTAGCAGAGAAAAAAATCACCTTCAAAAATTGTAATATTTAATTTTGTAGGAGTAAATAACTGGAAAATTATTTAATGGAAATAACTGCAATTATATATAATCATTCAAAAGTTCCATAGTGCACTAGCACTTCATATTTAGAGCTAGGTTCTTGGTATGTCTTACTAACCATCGAAACATTTAGCACTTAAGCTATTTCCTTGGATTCCTCCTAGAAGTATTAGAGAGAATTACATACTAACTCATAGTCTTAGGAGTATTTTTCATTATTAAAAAGGGAAATGCCACAGCATGTTAAGGGTGGTGTTACAGTAGGATTATAAACCATTTTAAGCCCATTTTATGTTTCTTCATGTCTCCAGGAGGAGCTCTCCAATGTCAACCTCTCCAAGTTCCGCAAGATCCAGCACGAGCTGGAGGAAGCCGAGGAACGGGCTGACATTGCAGAGTCCCAGGTCAACAAGCTCCGAGTGAAGAGCCGGGAGATTGGCAAGAGGGCAGAAAGTGAAGAGTAAATGACTGCAATGCTGTAAAGTGAGAGAATTGCAAAAATGTGACATTCTATCACTTTTATTTTATAATCACTGCTTAGTCCTTCATCAATCTCTAGATAATTAATGCCTAGAAAATAAAAATTGTAGAGCTTTTCCCATTTCAATAATGAGAAATTGAGTGTTGTATTTTAATTATTATCCCTAATTCTTATTTTTTATTCTTATTCGTGTTTCTTAATTCTTATTCTGCAGGGGGGTCTCACCTGAGGGGGCAGAGGGGCAGAATACCCCCTGCCCTGCTGCCCACGCTGGGGGATCAGCCCAGGGCACAGGGGGGTTTCCAGCCTCATCCACCAGCACCCACAAGTTCTCCCCAGGGCTGCTCTTGATTTCATTCCCTACCGAGCCTGTATGTGTGCCCAGGATCACATACTGATGTATTTACTGAAGGCAATTCATGCATACATACACATACACACACTCATCATTTCTGAAACTATTTTTCTGAGCACCAATCCAGTAACATGAAAATGTATGTTACTGTTTCATTACTGATATAATCAAGGTCAAAAGTAGTCACTTTTCATAGCATTCGATTTTGGGGCTTTACAGCTGTACAGGACAGCTTGCCCTGAAGGAATCCTCTATTTAAGCCTCACAATATCTCCAAACATGTTCCCAAAGTCACATGTCAGACACCTGAGAAAGGACATTTGTGGGATTGATTGTCACCTGTGAAATGGATTGCTATCGAGTTCTTTTTGGAGAAAGAAAAAGATGACAAATCAGAATGCAGCTTTTGTACTGTGCAGATAAGTCCTGGTTTAATGTACCTCATGAAAAGAAAAGCAGTAGGAAGCCTCCTTGCTCAGAAACCCTCTTATCTGCCAAGGAACTATTCAAGTCTTTGGGGTCCTTTTCATGATGGTTCTTTCCTGCCTGAGTCAAGCAGATAATTTTTTTCACTATACCTCCGCTTCAGTCTGTCTCTGCCCCCGTGCACCACAGGCACACTGGCAGGGGCTACTGGCCAAGACTCCCTGGAGAGAACACTGCCACTGCCCTGCAACCATCAGGCCTCAGCTAAGTCTGAAGGAAAGCAAAAGCAGTGAGTGGAAAAGGTTCAGTCCTAAACATGCTTTTACAGAAAAAAAAAAAAAAGAAAATAAGGCTTCAATCTGCTTCAGCCATGACGTTTTCTGTGCCTGGCTGACTTGCTGAACCTCTGCAGACATGAGGCTGCAGTTAGGGTACATCCCAACTGGTATGATGGGCTGCAGAGACTGGGATTGACTGAGGAGCTGATCCCACCCCTGGAATAGCTTACACCATAGCATCACAGAATCATTTAAGTTGGAAAAGGCCTCTAAGATCATTGAGTCCAACCATTAACCAAACTCTGCCAGATCCATCATCATGATGTACCTAAGTGCCACACTTACATGTTTTTTTAATGCTTCTGGGATGGTGACTCCACCACTTCCCTGGGTAGCTGTCGTGGTTTTAGCTAGCTCTCAAAAGCCAGGTGAAGAATTTTCTCCCTTCCCCCCTGGATATCAAGATAAGCACTTCAGAGTACAAAAGACCTAGCTCCATGGCTGATGGCCGGACATTAGTCTCCTAAGAGACAAGGCAGATAAGGAATTGCAGGTTACTTTTTTCTCTCGTCTCCTAGGCAACGAAGTGGGAGGAGTTGGGGGGGGCTACTGTGTGGCTGGAAGGAGATTGGGAGGTGGGGCTCCGTATGGTCTCAGCCGGAGTAAGTGAAATTGTCTGGTCCCTTTTCCCCTCTCCCTCTTCCCTTTCCCAGTGTGCGGGAAGGGAAAGAAGGTTCCTTTTTGTTTGGATTGTTTTTTTTCTCCGGCGTACCCATGTGCTGGGCTTCAGACCTTACAAGTTCTGAATCTCCGGTGATCCGACGGCGCCCCCTGCTGACTGTGGTTGGAATTGCACCAAAAGGCACAAAAATTGAACTGTTTACTTCGCCTTTTGCCAGTTTATCGGTTTTGTTTCTGAAGGGGTTATTTGTGGATACTAGAGTGTTGTTTGGTTGTTTTATTTAGCTTTTTTTGGTGTTTCTGTTAATACACACATACTTTTAATAACGGGCTGGTTTTTTTCCTTTTCCATAATTTATTCTTTTCCTTCAATCGGAGCCTTTTAATTTTGGATTTATAATTGCTTAGAAAGAGAAGTTTGGGTCTTTTCTCCTAACTCATCCTCAGCAAAAGACCCTTGTCTCATTTAAACTGGGACAGTAGCCCATTCCAATGCCTTCTAATGATCACTCTTTCAGGGAAGAAATATTCCCTAATATCCAATCTGAACCTCACCTCGCACAACTTGAAGCTGCTTCCTCTTGTTACTTGTTCCCTGGAAGAAGAGCCCAACCCCCACCTGGCCCCACCCTCCTGGCAGGGAGCTGTAGAGAGTGAGAAGTTTCCCCCTGAGCCTCCTTTTTTCCAGGCAGAGCCCCCTTGGCTCCTTCAGGTGCTTCTTATCAGACTTGTGCTCCCAACCCTTCCCCAGCAACTTCTTATAGCAGGACAGTCAGAGAAATGAATCCCAAAACACCATGAAAGATCTGTGTGTTCCTCCTGAGGTCTCTCTTCCACCTCCATGCCATGTTGGTCCCCAGAGGAATCCCAGTCAGCTTGGGGTAACATCTGGGTGATCCGTGTTGGTTATGTGATAACAACTCGTCTGCACACCCACTAAGCAACACAGAAAGACCTTGATAAAAGGAGGAGCCCAAACAACACCCTGCCCAGCTACTCCCAGGCCCATTGCAGGAGCCCATCAACCCATCAAAGGCACTTCTCTAGTCCAGGGGAGCACAGGCTGCAGTGGGGGCTCCCAAGGATCAAGCACCCTGGGCAGGTCCCCAGGGCTGTCCTGACGCAGCAGGGCCCAGGGTGGGGGTGTGGAAGCCTCTGCTATGAGCCCCAGGGAGCAGCTCTGACCTCTGACCGAGGAGCACTACTGTCGAGGGGGCGGGGAGGAGCCGCGGGGAGCACACAGAGACAACGATGGGATGTTTTAGGGATAAACCAAAGGTTTGAACAGGAGCAGGGTAGGTGATCTGGACAGGAACAAATGTACAAAACTGGAGGAGTAAGGAGATAAAAAAGGCTGATGATTCGTGCCTTTGTGCCTGATCATTTATACATTCATATATGTATATATGTCTTTGTACATAGATAGATGTATTTATGTATGTAAATGCATATGCAGGGCACATGCATTTGCTCTGTATGTGTTTGTGTCTCCTGGGAGCACATCTTTGAACCTTGCTACAGTGAACATGAACCAGGGGACACAGATCTGCAGGCATGGAGCTCCTGAAGCCTCAAACTGTTGGATCCAGCATGATGTATTTTCCTTTAACATCTGGCACAGCCAGCAAGAGACAGCTGGGCTCTGAATGTTCCCAAAATAGCAGATCCAGTATTCCCAATATGGGGAGGCAGTGGATCCTTTTTCAAGTGAATTCTATCTGTCAGAATTATTTGCCAAACCTTTGCAATCTTGTGAGGAAAAATCCTGGATTAACCAGGATGATGGACTGAGAAATACATACACAATATTGTATATGTGAAGACTGGTGTGGAAATTTGCTTTGCAATGAGTTGGTTCCTTTTGAAAAACTGTTGGGCCACCACAGTCCAAGTCCTTGACTACAGAGCAGGTAGAGGTCAGAGAGCTGAGGCCAGGTTCTCTGCAAACCCCATGTTGGAAGCTGTTACAGAGGTACTAACAATTGCCTGTAAGTGTCCTCAACTTACAGAAGAGTTTCTTATTTTACAAAGTTAATAAATAGAGTAATAGAGCTTCAGTTCACATAGGGACGCTACAGGAGGGACAGAAGGTGGAAATTTCATTACCTTCCTTATAAAGAATTTTGTGGGGTTTGCCCTTTCCCCACCTCCCTTATATCTACACCCTGCCTTTTAAATTCTTTCTTTACAGTTAAACTTGTAGTTGTAAGTACTGCAAATATGGGGATGGTGCCTGGGAACACTGTCAACAACATGCAGACTACAGCTTTGCAATCGCCTCACGGGGTGTATACATCTGCTTTGGGAAGACATCTGCAGTACCCAAGGACATGGAGCAGCAACAATCATGCCACTCTCAGGCTAACTGAGAGTGATTTATATTTTGCATGAGTATGTTATATCTTCCTCCAAAATCCTGAGATTGCTGAATTGCTCTTAAAAGAGTATCCAAAATTTCCTTCAAAATGCTTCATCTGGGAAGACTGGGAAGGGATCTAAAAGGAGTTGGTGCAGAGCCTTCCCCATTAAATGTGGGAAAAAAGGACATTATGGGTTTTTCTGTTTTGAAAACTAGAAAAATACAGCACATTTCACAAATGCCACTCTTTCTGATACCCATCCTCCCAGATATTTTCATAGCAAGGAGAATAGCAGTCCCAGAGGGAGCTGGTTTCAGCCTGGCTCCACAGAGATGCCTTGGAGAGCAGCTTTGGACTGGATGGCTGTCCAGGTAGTGCCAAGTGGCCATGAGAAGGGCAGGGCCTTGGTCTCAGCCCTGTGACCTGAGCAGTTGAGCACTGGCTGCTGTCAGACTGCAGGGAAAGGTGAGGCAGGTGTGGGCAGTGGGAGAGCAACAGGGAGAAGCAAACCTGCTGTGTCAGAAGGTCACTTCTCTACACTGCCTTTACTGCTTACTTTGAAACAGCTCAAGCAAAACAGAACATTGATGTCCCAGATGTAGAATATATTTTACAAAAACAGAGGAGTCTTTAACACCAGGCAAGGTCCTTCTGACACCTCGGTAATCCTTACTCAGAACACAACGATATCTGTTTTCAAAGCTCGCTTGCAGGTCCTACAGAGAAGGACAGCAAGGGTATAGGGGACAGTGTTTGGGAGAGTTGAGAGGTAAATTAAGGAGAATGAGAACACCAAGCCCGTTGAGAGTAGTACAGGAGGGCTGTGCTGGGTCCTAATGCAATATATCTATAAACAGAGCTGCTGGACTGAGCTTCCCCCAGAGCTGCTCATGGGATTTGCTTCACATCAATCCACTTTGGACACTCAGGGATGATCCCCAGGGACACTGTCTGCAGCAGGATTATCAGCCTGTCCTTGTCCAGGATCACTGCTCAAAACTATCTTATATAACAACACAGACA